GCTATCCATCTAATAGTAGCCTACCAAAATCTTATTAACAGTAGAAGTTAAATCTTACTGTAGACTTCAAATCTTACGTTTTAAAATCGCAAAGAGAGTTTGGTCCCATCAGGCTAACGTGACAGTCACGACTCGTGCAGCTGTAAGCTTTTCTTTTTCTTTTGTTTTTACTCGCGATCTTTACAACACGCATTACATTACGTATTTCATAGCACACTTGTTTTATGCGTATTTGGCGCCACCTATTGTTGTGGGTGTATTATTGACATGTCAAAGTCTAGACCCTGAATATAAGACGACCGCGTTTTTTCAGATGTATTTCCAAGAAAAAAACATCGTCTTATATTCGGGTCAATACGGTAATTAAGTGTTTAAGAACCGTGTAAAATAACTCAATTTATTACTCATGCACTTGCTGACCGGCATCATAATGTGTGTGTGCACAGAAACTCTCAGACAGCGCACGACTGCCAAATTGAGTTATTTTTCACTGCTTGTTGCACTTCAATGGTTTAAAATTGTTTTCCAAACACATGACTTAAAAGCGCGTGTAAATTATAAAGTTTGGTGAGGGCGCAGTGCTACAACTTCACATTGAGCTAGGGCTGGGCGATAGGGCCTAAAATCAAAACCTCGATTAATTGAACACTTTACCTCAATTACGATTATTGAACGATTATTTAATTTATTTTATATTTATTTATTTTTTGCCCTCATATTTCATTACAGGTTTGTACTATAAATATAGCTACTCAACTATTAAAAGGTGGGATTTTTTTTCTAATGGAAGAGTGCATTTCTTATCTTTGTTTCCTTCAATTATTTCAAAATCACAAACTATTTATGGTTATTTGTTGAATATTTTGAACAATTGAAATCAAAGATTGCTAGGGCTGCCGCAATAACCGCAATATCGCAATACTGAATACGCTATTGAAGAGCAAACCGCAGAGGAATGCAAGAACCGCAGCAACCGCGATTTTTGCATGTTTTTCTTTTTCATAGGGTTATGCCTTTCTCGTTTTACACTTCGTGCATCTGTACTGAATATTAAATAAGTTAGTAATGATAACATAATGTGTACCATGCTGAGGCTCCGTAGATTTGCACTTAACAAGCCTAAACAGACAGCGAATGAGAGAGAGATCAACTGAGCGCGTGCGATTACTTGCGAGTCATATATATTTGTGAAAATAGGAAGTCATGTCCAAGGAAAGCCAAATCTCTGTCTTAGCATCGATGCATTGGTCAGCTAAACCTTCTAACGTGGCGCTCAAAGTTAAAATGATTTCAACAGTGTTTTTCATTTTGTCTCTCTTTGAATGAATCAGCGTTTTTGAACGTGTAGTTGAATGAACGGTTTAAAGACTCACTCAAAGACAGTCTCTTTCCAACACCTTGTGGTGCAACAATGTAACTGCACTGACTGGCAGTCCGTCTAGAACACACGCAGGTGGAAATATCAATAGAAAGTATCGTCCAGTCGGATTCGAGGATCAGAACAAACTGTTATACATATAGGCTAACAATAGCCTAACAATCTTATTGTCAGGTTTATGTTCTGTTATGTGGATCGTTATTTTGTCATTCTCTTCTGTTTACTTCACTTCCTGTTTCAACGCTATTTGGTTTTGGTTTCATTGGTTTCTGAATATATATATATATATATATAGGGTGATGATACCGCATACCGCGCTACTGAGCCACTCAAAATTATCTCAAAGGAAATACCTTCACCACGACAGCCCTAATTTAGATTGCTTGAAACAAAGACGTCTTATGAAAAAAAAGTCATATTTCAGTTTAATTGCAAAAAGCATGTTTTCTAAAAAAAAAAAAAAATTTTGGGAAATTACCGTACTGGCCCGAATATAAGACGAAACCTGATTATAAGATGACCCCCCTTTTTCCAGATGTACCTTTTGGAAAAAGGCTTTTTAAAAACCAAATCGTGTTTTTCTCAGTAAAACACATTTTGTCTTCAATTATTTTCATATTGCATATTTTTCCTATTTTAATTTTTGTTTTGAAAGTATGGTAAAAACTGGTCAAATGTACCAACAATCACATTTAAAAATATACACTTTGTGATATACCATTAAAAAAGCAAAAAAACAGGTAGCCCATCTGAATTAGGACATTTAGGCTATCCATCTAATAGTAGCCTACCAAAATCTTATTAACAGTAGAAGTTAAATCTTACTGTAGACTTCAAATCTTACGTTTTAAAATCGCAAAGAGAGTTTGGTCCCATCAGGCTAACGGGACAGTCACGACTCGTGCAGCTGTAAGCTTTTCTTTTTCTTTTGTTTTTACTCGCGATCTTTACAACACGCATTTACGTATTTCATGGCACACTCGTTGTATGCGTATTTGGCGCCACCTATTGTTGTGGGTGTATTATTGACATGTCAAAGTCTAGACCCTGAATATAAGACGATCGCGTTTTTTCAGATGTATTTCCAAGAAAAAAAAACATTGTCTTATATTCGGGTCAATACGGTACTTTCATTTTTTCCAAACAAAATGAATGAATACTGAGTCAAAAGTAGAAAATAACCAGCATCTCTTGCAAAACAAAATACATTTTAAATATTGTCAGGCGAAAAAGTAGAAAATAACTTGCATCTCCTGTAAACAAATGTTTTAATAAAACAATGAATGGTTTTAAAAATGCAGATTGCCTACTCCGTCAAGGTGCCGTCAAATACAAAAGTTGCCATGCCAACCTGTCACTGCGACCAAAAGCTCGCAACGCTTGCCCCGCCTCCGGGTTCTTCTGATTGGTCCACTGTTTTTAAACTGACATTGATGAGCGCATAGATATCGCCGCTCACGTGCGAGACACTGCAAAACACGCGAGTGCAATGTTCACATCCGTACAGTGCCGACTAAACACGCAGTAGTATGTTTTTAAAGGGAAAGTATTAAAAGGATTTAAAAAACTAAATAACCAACATGGTAAAATTACGTCGGTTAGAGATTCTGTATTTCGGTTTCTTTTTGATTAATCGTCCAGCCCTAAATTGAGCTCAACTAAGACTGAGACAATAATCCAAAAAATCTATAGGTTAACAAATATCGACTGGTTTATTGTGTCTGCCGGTATATTGGCCACCCCTAGTTGTATTACAGGGAAAAGAGCAGGGTGCACATCCTGCTAAAGCTCTCTTTTGTCATTTTTGGGTGAGTTGTTCCAGTTACACTTTATTTTAAGGTGTCCTCGTTAGATTGTAATTATGCATTTAAGTACAGAGTAATATTAATTAACTACATGTACTTACTATATAGTTGGGGTTCAGATTAAGGTTTGGTTTACAGTTACTTGCATGTAATTATGCATAATTTATTGTTGTTATAATAGTACGTACATGTAACGTGTAACAAGGACACCTTAAAATAAAGTGTCACTGTTGTTCCTTTAACCTCTTGCTGCTGTATTTTGAGGAGCATTCAGTCCACTAGTTGTTGGATCATCATCACTACTAGAACCTGAACCAAAACGTGACTGTCTCAAGCATTGTTCCCGCTGCCTTATCTCTTACCAGAGCGCTCTGGGTGAGGTTTCCCTGGCTGATGTACTCCACCGCAGCCTCAAACGAGGTGAGACAGTAACTCAGCTCATCCTTACTGGACTTGCGGAAGCGGAAGTTCTTTATGTAACTCAGATTGGCCATCCTGAAGAAAACATCAGGATATTAGCATTCTGCATGCACAATGAAGCTCTCAACAGACTGTTAAAGATATTTAATTAATAAATCACTGCTCTTGTAACTGTGCCGCAGAAAACACAGCACTCGACTCACCAGTTAGGGATTTCTGTTTTGATTAGCAGATAGAGAATGACTAACAGGAGATCATCAGCACACATGGCCTCAATGCTCACTGCTGAAAGAGACACATCACTGTGATGAGCTGAGTGTCTGATACATAATGCACACACCAATCACTAGAGCTTTTCATAAACTGTTAATCTGAGTGTTCAGTCCACCAAACTACAATGCTACAGTGAGCGCTTCACAGGAAGAAATAGATACTGGGTTTGGGGAAATGTGCAAGATTTTCATCTTCAGTTTATTCAAAGTTTTGTAGCAGCATGTAAACAACATGCGATTAAGCACAACTGCGCTGTATATTCTGCTTCAGAATAAATTAATAACAGATTGCAATTCTAACCAAAAAGACAGCTTTTTTCCATTGTTTTAGTTTAATTAATGAAGGACACTAATACTTTATTGTTTGAGCATCTAACAATTCTAAAAATGTTGTTGCACACTAAATGTTTAAACAATAAAACAAAGTGAAAACAAACAAGCAAATAAACAAATGAATGAATGAACGAACAAATAAATAAATCCTGTGCAAGTAGCCATTTTTGGTTTTATCTCTATGGGTGAATCTCTCACAATTTATGTATTTATTTTCTGTAAAGAAGATGAGCCTTTTTCAGGAATAAAGAGATTGTTTACATTACTATCATGACAATTAGCCCTTAATAAAATTATTAGGTTCAATTTAATTCTGCATAAATAAAATACAGTACAACAATTCTTCTTCTTCTTATTATTATTATTGTAGTGATGAGTAAAATAATTTATATTATGGTATTGATAAAATAAAATAATGTCTGGACCAAGAATTGTCCACAATGCTAAATAAGGCATAATATAATACTGGTGATAATATTATTATATTCATACTGAATAAAAAAAAAAAATGCAAGTCACTTTGGATAAAAGTGTCTGCTAAATGCATAAATGTAAATGTAATATATGGCCTTAATAAAATATTTCCTGAAGAAAACAAGCACTGAACAACATACAAATGGACAGAACCTCTTGTGCCAGACCTGCACAGTTTTTCTGTCTGCCTTCAGTGCCTTGTTTTGGCAAAATTGGGAAAATGACTAAACAAGCTGTTTGACAAACAGACATTAGGAGAGCATTCCTCTAGTTTTACACATACTGCAAGTGTTGTTTCTGCCTCATGAAAACTAAAGACTGGGGTGAAACAGAGGACTAACTCTTCGGGAATGATGCCTAATCCAGTTACAGGAAATGTGCAGAAGCAGTCCGGTTACACGCACACACACACGCACGCACGGACGCACGCACACACGCACACACGCACACACACACACACGCACACACACACACACACACACACAGGTTTGTTTTTGTGAAAAGTGGGGACATCCCATAGGTGTAATGGTTTTTATACTGCACAGACCGTATATTCTATTGCCCTACACCAACCCTACCCCTAAACCTACCCCTCACAGGAGACTTTGTGCTATTTCAGATTTTCAATACACTCCATTCTGTGTGATTTATAAGCGTTTTGAAAAGTGGGGACATGGGGTAATGACCTGAAAAGTCACCTTCTCCTTGTAATACCTGTCATACCTTTGTCATTATACAAATGTATGTCATTTGTCACAAAAACGCGCGCACACACTCTCACACACACACTCTCACACACACACACACACACACACTCACCCACACACACACTCACACACACACACAC